AATTTTCTAAAAAGTACTCGAAGGAGATAGGAACTTCTCTTTAAATGTGCTTGGTCTTTCCTCCTTTTCAAATTTTAAATATCAAAAAAAAAAAAAAATGAAATGCAATGTTAACTTCAAAGTATGGAATGAAAAACCCAACCTTGTTTTGATTTTACATTGAACTTTAGAGCAGAATCGGTTTTCACAAGCTGCTGGATTTACTATACGATCCAGTTACAATAACAAGGAGCCCAGAGAGTTGCAAAGCCAGTAGGAAGTGTGAAAACCTCTTTTCAACAAGTTTTCTGAAAAAGGCTACAAACCTCCTTGGAATAGCTGGCAGGGTGAACCAAATATACGAACCACTCACCCATACTCGCCCTGGGGTGAGTATGGGGAATAACTGGTCCTTCTAACTTTGCAGTTAAGAGTTAAGGGCTAATGAACTCCAGCTGAATTCTTCTTCCCAAAGGCCAACTTTTTCAACAGGAGAAAAGGGGAAGATCAACAGACCTTTAGCAAAGCAGTGTTGTACTAAAATAATGTTTTTCATTTCTCTAGTTTTCTTCCCCAGTACAAGATGTTTCTAGTTCTCTTCTGCATTCACAGAAGGCTTGAATATTAGCCTAGCTAGGTGGTTCAGTGGCTAAGACACTGAGCTTGCCAATCAGAAAGGTCGGCAGTTTGGCGGTTTGAATCCCTAGTATAGGTCTCTTGCGTGAGCAGGGGGTTGGACTAGATGACCTCCAAAGTCCCATCCAATTCTGTTATTGTTATATGTTATATTTACTTCAAATGTTTTCTTGGTGTTTTTGTTTTATTGTGGAGGTGGTTTTGAATGCAATTACTGGGGAAGGTATGTTCTTCATCCCCTTCGTGGTATGTTTTCTGGTCTGTGGACACCTGTGCCTCTCATTCTGGAAAGGGCCCGCAGGATGCTTGTTGTGTTGTTTCATTTGGGACTGAATGAGAGGAAGAGAGAAGCCAAAGAAGCTGAAAATTACAATAGTTCTCATTTAGCAATCAGAATTGGGATCGGCAACTTGGTCACTAAGTGAAACCGGGACTCTGCTTGTGATCTGACTTCAGCTTTCTTTTGCTTTACAAACCCACAAAGTTTATAAACGCAAGGATTGGTCACAAAGTTAATTTTACATTATCGCCGTAACTACCAGTTGCTAAATGAGGCAGTCACTTTAAATGAGAATTACTTGAATCAGTCTGTTCACGAAAAGGCCTGGCAGATCAAGCACGAGTGAGTGAATTTAGCTTGCTGGCAGTGGAGGTGTAAAAACCTGCTCACCGCCACTACCTCCAAACAGCCCAAAAACCATGTATGGTGTGTGTGTGAAAATAGGAAACCCTGGGCTACTGCTACCACTCTGCACTATTCCCACCAATTCACTTGCCTGCCTGGTTCTTCCTCGGGATGTCTGTGATAAGTTGTCACCACAGTAATGCCAAGGCATGTGTGTTGAGTTGTCCTGCAACAATCTGGCGGTGGTGAGTTGGCAGAGGCAATTTAGTGGTGCCATGGTGAACTGCCCGTGCTGAACTACCCATTGTCCCATTCCGTCCCTAAAATGTTTGTCTCAGGGGTGAAATGCTCCCGGTTTGGACTGGATCGCCCGATCTGGTAGCAATGGTGGCGGATGGTTCGGAGAATCGGTAGCAAAAATCCCTGCACCCCTTCCCCCCACTATGCCCAGCTGAGCCGCATGATCATCAGAGGTTTTTTTTTTTTACTTTTAAAAGCACTTTTTCTACAACCTCTTCCGACGAAAAAATGCTTTTAAAAGTTAAAAAAAAAGCCTCTGATGATCGCACGGCTCAGCTGGGATCATCAGAGGCTTTTCAAAGCATTTTTAAAAAAGCTTCTCTGATGATCCCAGCTGCGTTGCCTGATCGGCAGAGGCTTTTCAAAGCATTATAAAAAATACTTTGAAAAGGTTTTTTTTTTAAAGTTGGCCATGCCCACCCAGTCACATTACCCCTCCCCCACCAAGCCACGCACACAGAACCAGTAGTAACAAATTTTACATTTCACCCCTGGTTTGTCTTCTTTGAATGGAATCCCAAAAGCAAATCCAGTTCCATTAAATTGATGGGAACTGAGAGAAATTGGGGAAATGTTCTCTACAAGCAGAACGCAAACAACAAATTCCAGACAGCAATAATGCAACCTCCCAACAGAAGAACCAGGCTTGTGAGGGCCCTTTCATGAATTTGATGCATGATACAAAAAAGATGCTGAGGTTTTAGATCAGGGGTTTTAAACTCAAGGCCCATGGGCCAGATCCAATAAAGAACCTACCCGTGGTGCTTCTGCCAGTGAAAATGGCGCTTGCAAGGGCCACACGTTGCCCTCCTGAGCAATGTTTTCGCTGGCAGAGTGTTGCAGGAGGCCGTCGCAGCCGAAAACGGAGCTTGGGAGCCCGTTTTTGCTGGCAGAGCACTCGGGCCTCCATAGGTGCCCCCTACATGAATGACGTCAAGCTGGCCATGCCCACCCTGGCCACACCCACCCTGGCCCCCGAGGTCAAACACAACCCTGGTGTGTTTGAATGAAATTGAGTTTGACACCCCTGTTCTAGACAGAGAAGAGCAACAAAATGATAAGGGGTCTAGAGGCTAAAAAGTAGAATGAAAAGTAAAGGGAAAGGGGTATGTTTAACCTAATGAAGAGAAGCCTCAGAGGGATGACAGGTTAGCTCTCTTCCAATATTTGAAGGGGTGTCTCAGAGAAGAAGGACTGGATTTACTTTGCATTGTACCTGAAGGCAAAACAAGAAGCAATGGGTAGAACTTATTCAAGGGAGATAAGGAAATAAGGAGGAATTAATTGTTAGAATGATTAATCAGTGGAACAGCTTGCCTCCCAAAGTTGTGGGTGCCCTATTGCTGGAGGTTTTAAAGAAAAGATTGGACAAACCCTTTGTCTGGGAGGATATAAGGACTCATTCCTTGGTCAAAGGGTTGGACTAGAAGACCTCCAAGGTCCCTTATGGGCTTATGATTCTATGATTCTAATTTTCAAACAACCATACTTAAATTTTGGTAATTTATGTCTTCCCTTTTTGAAACACCACGTACAATCAAAAACTCTCACTCCTTGTACTGACAAACCCATAAGTGTTTTTGCTTTTCTTAGTAAGTAAACTGTAATTGCTAAGTAAATTATGGGACATTTAGTGAGAAACAGTTCTTTCTTGATGGATAAATCTTACTGATGTTCCTAGTCAGAGATGGGAAGAGTGAGTCGAACTATTATAAAAAGGAATAAGGAAATACAGATTGGATTTATTCTTGTTTGTTCCTGAACAAATTGCAAAACACTTATTATGTTCTAGTTACCGCCTGCTTCAGCTTGTTTTTTAAACAAAGCATTGTAACCTGACCAGCTCATATATGCGCAACACATTTTAAGCCCGTTAACCTTTCAAGGCTTGTCAAACAAAAGGGGCTTGGGAATTTGACTCTGATGGGAAGGTATTAGACTATCATCAGCATTAGAAAATGCAGTACGCTATTCAATTATTCCCCCAGAATAGCCCCCAAGGCAATTAATAAGAGAAAAAAAAAGTTAAGAACATAAAACCATCATGAAGATCAATTAACAATTAAAACACAGGAAAGAGATGAATGTTTTCTAAAAGATGAGAGTAGATTCATAGATCCAGAGGGATTACATTTCACAGGTAGGGAGCAATGCATGAAAAAGACACAATCTGAACCACAGAGAGGTTTATAATGGGTGAGGCAGTCCTTCAGAGGGTTAGATCCTAAGACATTAAAGATTTAAAAGTCAATGCAAACACTTTAAATTATGTCTAGTAAGTCACTGTAATTTCTATTGCTTACACAAGTTACCAGCCCTAGCTATCACATTTTCAACCAGAAGAAACGTTAGATACATTTTAACACTAGCACCCATACAAGTACATCCTGATGGTTAACACCAGTAGGCATTCTTGAAAAGTGAAATGATGGATAGCTGAGTGGCAGATTTGGGTTTAGGAGAACACAACTTTCTGCTAAGCAATGACAAGGCCATGCAGCAGCATGTGAGAAATGCAGAAAATAAGATTTTGGGGAAGCTTTAGAATTCTGGAAAAGTTTTATTTAGGATCCAGAGCCACACAACCGAATAAATATAGCAAAACATAATATGCATGACTTTCTGGGAAGAATTTATGCTTCCCATATTTTATTATTTTTAAAAATTGGATTCCTGCATTGAGAAGCAGGTTGGACGTAATGTCCATTAATGATCTTTCTGGCCATATGATTTGCAGTTGTGAGGAAATCTCTGAACAGACACTACAACGTTGTAGGAGGTTTTCTATAATACTTCGTTTGGGTGGCATGTTGCCCATCGTGCCAGTTCTAGAAGTGGCTAGCATCAATTTACAGCAAACTCCATTTGGAAATCTGATCTGCAAAAATATGGTCTCAGCAAGAAGCTGCACTAGATTTCAATAAGATGATTTGTTGATTTTAATGAGAATCTTTAATGCTTGCCTGTAATAAATAAAGAATCTTGGGAATTTTTCAGCCTCAGTTTTGACTATTGGTATTATCTTAGCAAATCGTGATATTGCAGAACAGCTCTTAAAAAACACAAGTAATAGTACAGCTCAACAAGATTCAAAACAGCAGATTCAAAGCCTTAAACTGGGAGAAAAAAAGTAATTAAAATGTTCAGGGTGCACTGAAAATATTGGGGAAAGCAAAAGGGAATAAAACAGTATTGATTTGCTCAGCACTGGCAACAGGCAGTGTTCTCTTGGGGAGAAATTTACTTACAGGGATATTAAGGCAGGAATACAATTTGAATTTTTTGATTCATATTGGTTTGCATTCTGGGCTGACTTGCATGTATATCATGGTCAAATTTGCAGCAAACTATAAGGCCTGTGTGATGTTTAGCTGACAAAAGAGATGGTTTCTCAATCTGGTTTCTTTCCTAGATATTACAATGCTCAAATCATACAATGATTCAAGCCACAGTAGGACTGGATGTCATACCATATCCTGACAGTAAGATTGCCTACAGATCAGTGGTGGGATTCAGATGGTTCGGGCAAGTCCCCAAGTGCCCCATTTTGGCTCCCAGGTAAGTGCAGGGAGGCCTCCTAGGCCCAAAATGGGGGACGGAGGGTTATGATGTGCCCCCTATGGCCCGTTTTTGCTCCCAAGAGGCTTTGGGGAAACCTCCTAGGCTGAAAATGGGATGCGGGAGGGCAGCACATTCCCCTCATGGCCCATTTTTGCTCCCCCTCATGGTCCGATTTTGCTCCCCCTCAAAGCCCATTTTTGCTCCCCCTCATGGCCCGATTTTGCTCGCAGGAGGCTGAGTGCTGCTTGACACACCCCTGGCCACACCCACCATGGCCACGCCTACCCAGCTGGTCATTAGGATAGAGAACTAGTTGTTAAATTATTTGAATCCCACCACTGCTACAGATGTTATGCATTCTTCATCTCTGGAGGTTTTCAAGAGGCTGGACAGCCACATCTCATTGGTAGTTTCTGATTTTCCTGAACACCACAGAGGGTTGGACTAAATGTTTCTTGTGGTACTTTCCAGCAATACAATTCTTAATCCCTATCAAGACTACCTGGAATAATCCAGGGTATCTTGCCACAAGAATTCTATAGGAACAGAAATGGAAAGAAACATCAGTCCGTACAACAGAAGGGATGGAATAAGTAACAGAACAAGCAGCAAAACTGGCTGTTTTAGTTAGAGAAAGGAACGTATCCAGCTTTGTTTCCACTTGAAAACCACTTCTAGAGTTTGTGCTTGAGAGAGGAAAAAATATGAACTTTTGATGTTGGGTTTTGCTGATTAATATACTTTGTTGTTATAGAAATGGCCGGTCCTTTCTAAGTTTATAAAAATAAAAAGCTGAATAGCAATAGCAATTGCACTTATGTATCACTTCATAATGCTTTTCAGCCCTCTCTAAACAGTTTACAGAGTTGGCATATTGCCTCCAACAATCTGGGCCCTCATTTTATTGATCTCGGACAGATAGAAAGCTAAGTCAACCTTCAGCCGGTAAGAATCAAACTGCTTGGGAGTTGGCAGAATTAGCCTTCAGTACTACATTCTAACCACTGTACCACCATGGCTCTTATGTATTTGCCACCATTTGTTGTTAGTTGTGAAGTTGTGTCCGACTCATCACGAGCCCATGGACAATGTTTGTCCAGGCCTTCCTGTCCTCTACCATCCTCTGGAGTCCATTTAAGCTCACCTGTAAAATTTCTATTTTACTGTGCTAAAAATAGTTAAAAATCAGTTCTTTTTCTTTTTCCCTAGACTTACACATTTCTTTCCCCTTTCTTTCCTTTCCCCATTTCCTATCATCTTTTTTTTTTTATCTGAATGGTATATTATAGCAATTTTAATAAAATTCTTGAAAAAAATGGAATAGGCCAGGATTTCTCGGCCTTAGAAATTTTAAGATGTGTAGACTTCATTTGGTATGGCTGGGGTATTCTGGGAGTTTAAAATCTCCATGTCTTAAAATTGCTAAGGTTGAGAAACCTTGGAATAGGTCTTAAAATATCTAAATCAAAAATGAGAAAGGAGAGACCTTGTCAAAGAACGGCAAGATATGAAGTAATTAATTATTGGGCTAAATCTCCATTTTCCTGCCAACATTATAAATTGCTTGTGTGACTGAAGGGGAAAGCCCATACTTCAGATTGCTAATTAATCAATTAACATATCATAACGGCCTAAAAGGCAAGATAACAGACACATGTTTAAAAAAGGGAAGCTGCTCAAAAATAGGAGATAAAGCAGGAGAAGCTAGAGACAGCGGAGTTAGCATATGCATGCAAAAAACAACACTAATGTAAAAGAAGAAAAGGTTATCACGGATTTGCATTACAAATCAGGTGGTTCCTGATGGCAGGTAATTAAAACAAAACAAAACATGCAAGTCAAATTCTACAGTCAGATATTGGTATTAAGAAGTACATTGATCTGGCTCTTTTCAGAGCCAAGGATAAAGACTTAATTGATTTCTTCAATGAAAGTCACGGCAGGTATTATGTAGCGAACTTCATCTTATTACTAGAATTCATGCAGATGTTTACATTAATTAGGCACAGGTTACAGTATTTAAAAGGACAGTCATCCCTGACAGAAAACTTGGTAATGTAATAGGACTTCCATTTTCGCCCACACTTCATCTCCAGACTCCAATAAGAATCCTCCTAAAGATTTTAGCTCTGCATCTATCTCTCTTTTAATAATTGAGAAGCTGCAATCATATATAATGTTTTGGCAGGAATGTAAAATCATAGTATTTTGAGAAAGCCATAGAGACCCAACTATAAACAGTATTGAGTTAGTTCTTATGCTCAGCCAACAGCCTTAGCCATCTTGTAGCCCTCAGATCAGTGGTGGGTTTCTACTGGTTCACTCCGGTTCGGGTGAACTGGTAGTGACGGTTGCGGGAGGCTCCGCCCACCCACCCGGATGTTATCACGGAGGTTCTGTGCCTGCGCAGAAGCGCTGCACGTGAGCGAAGCAAGCACACGCATGCTCACAGTTCCGAACCAGTAGCAAAAGTAAATGGAACCCACTACTGCAGCGGTTCTCAACCTGGGGGTCGCGACCCCTTTGGGGGTCGAACGGCCATTTCCCAGGGGTCGCCAAAGCCCTCTCTCGCCCCCCCCCCGCCTTCACTCACCCTCTGCCTCTGCTGGATCGCCCAGTCGCCGTTCGCTTACCCCGCCCACTCCCAATCTATTGCTGCTCCGGAGTCCCAGCTGATGGCTAGAGGGAAAAAAACTTTAAATTCTTGCCGCTGGGCTTCAAAGAGCTAGCTGCAAAGAGGTAAATTCCTGGAGCAAGTTTTTTTCCCCCTAGCTATACTGAAAAGAGAAAGCGAAAGCAGGGTCTTAGCTGCAACATGACAAAATGAGGCAGAGAGGTTTCTTTTTCTTTTTCCTCACCAAAAAAGGTAGGTACAAAACTGCAAACAATGGGAAATTTAGGGCAAGAGGAGGTTCAAGATTTTAAAACACAAAAGAAAAAAAGCTCTATTTAACTAGGGAATTGTAATAATTGAGATACTATTAATTGTATATTGTGTTGAAAGCAGAAATGGTTAAGTTGTGGTTTGGAGGAATATATGGGGGAAATTATTTGGTTTATTATTATTGGTAAATATAATTAATTGATTTGTAAGAAATTGGATTGCATGGAAATAATTGGAATATTCATGTTCATATTGATAAATATACAAAAAAGATAGTTATATAACTAATTGATTTATATTAAAATGTTGAATTTGTATTAAACAACTGTATTACATAATTAACCAATGTGAGGATGGATATAAAAATAGATGACAATGCAAAGGGGTATAATATAGAATAGAAGGGAAAAATTGAATTTGATTAAGATTAGAGATGAGGATGAAGGGTAATATTGTTTTTTTTAAAAAATAGTTGAGGAATAAATATGGTAAAAAGGAAATATAGAAATTGTAAATTTAATTGAAATGACTAAATATTGTGTTGGAAGAAATATCCTTCTGGGTTCTGCTCCAAGTGGGGAAAAAGACACTGGAAACATGGAGACTGTTTGGAAAGATGTTTTAATAGTGGACAGGATCACATGGCTTGATGGGGCCCATTGTGTTAGTTTCTGTTGCTATTGTGTTGCAAATGTCCTTTGACAAAGGATTGACTTTCTGCCTCTGGCCCATTAACAAAGGGTGGGGGGCAGGAAGGTGGGAGCTGCTTTGTCTGTAAAATATGCTTCTCCATTTCTCATCCAGGGAAATATAATATTCTGCCTTTTTAATATTTCCCAAAATATTTCATTCTTCTAGGAAAGGGGTGGCTGCTAACCTCCTACAACTGTTTAAATTTGTGGACCGGCCAAATACTCTGTTCAAAGAAAATATGTTGTATGTTTGTATGTGTGTTTCTAATTATTGCTATTTATTGCTATTTGTTCTCTTTTATTCTTTAAAGTTTAACAATTCATTCTTTATCTTAATATCTTTATATTTGTTTGGGGTTGGCTTTCTTCCCTTTCATCTTTTTTATTGTACAGCAATCTTTCTCCTCAAACCTACCACCTTTGTCTTTTCTTTCTTACTTACTTTCTCTTCCCCCCCTCTTCTTCTTCTCCCTACTTCCTCTTTCTCCTTCTCCTCCTCTCTTCCTCCCTCTCTTACCTTCACTCCTATTCTAATTTCCCTTCCCTTCCTTCATCCCTCTCTATTGCTGTATCCTTTTATGCATATGGACTACTCAGAGGGCTGAAAAAGTTATTTTTGACTGGTCCTCGCACTTTTGACCAGTCCTCGAACTTACAACTGTCCTCACATTTTACGTTTTTGCCCTATCTTGTCACCATGGTGAAGAGAAGCAGTTGTGAAATGAGTGACATGGTTGTTAAGAATGCTACAATGGGCATAAATGATGACCAGTCATAACTGCGAAGACCGGTCAAAAGTGCGAGGACCTGTCAGAAATCACATTTTTCAGCCCTCTGGGTAGTCCTTTTGTGCACAGGGACTACTCAGAGGGCTGAAAAAGTTATTTTTGACTGGTCCTCGCACTTTTGACCAGTCCTCGAATTTACGACTGTCCTCACATTTTACGTTTTTTGCCCTATCTTATACCATGTTGAAGAGAAGCAGTTGTGAAATGAGTGGCATGGTTGTTAAGAATGCTGCACAGGCATAAATGTGAGGATGGTCATAAGTGTGAGGACCAGTCAAAAGTGCGAGGACCTGTCAGAAATGACTTTTTTTCAGCCCTCTGAGTAGTCCCTATACACATAGCCATGGCCACCCGGTCACATGACCAGCTAACCACGCCCACTCGGTCACATGACCTCCAAGCCACGCCCACAAAATAAGCCACGCCCACAGAACCGGTAGTAAAAGAAATTTAGAACCCACCCCTGGTTGGGGGTCACCACAACATGAGGAACTGTATTAAAGGGTCGCGGCATTAGGAAGGTTGAGAACCACTACACTACTGCCTCAGATGTGCTAAGCTTATAATTCTCAGGCTATCCAACTAATGGGGTGATTTCACAGATTGAGGTCTTAAAGTTATTTGGGGTGGGTTTTTCTTCTTTCTTTTTTTTTTTTTGTTCCTTTATCACTTTGTATACCAGGATAACCAGATAAAAGAATCTTGCCAATTTTGACATAGTGGGGAAAGTATTTTAGAAAAAATTAATGAACAATATAAAACTTTCCTTGGAGGTAAAATAATGGGTACTATTTTACCTCCATGGGAAGTTTTATATTGTTCATTAATTTTTCTAAAATACTTTTCCCTCTATCTCTTAGTCTTTCAGAGTGGGCTTGAATTTTAAGTGTGCCTTTCTGATAATCCCACATAAACGGTGAAGCTGCTCCAAGTCTCAATAGTAACCAAGGGTAGGGGAAAAAATCAAAATGGGCAAGATTCTTTTATCCTGCCTTTATTGTTTTTATAAATAAATCAAAGTGGAGTGCAAACACACCTAACACTCTTTCCTTCTCCTATTTTCCACACAATAATTGCCCTGTGAGATGAGTTGGGCTGAGGGAGAGTCCAATAAACACAATAAACACAAACTGGGACTCCCAACCAATCAGAATGAAAAGGTGGAGCCATCCCAGACTACCAGCACCAGATTTGAAATAGTAACGGCGGTTACTGCAAAAGACCCCTCACATAAGCCTGATGATGGCAGATGAGATTCTGTCGAAACGTCGCTTCTACCCTTTTAGGGATATGTTCACAATTACACGGGAAGAAACTCGAAATATTAACTGTACACACACACACACACACACACACACACACACACACACACACACACACACATATATATATATATATATAATTTATAATATTATATTTTAATGCAAATATTATTGCATTTAATGAATGTATTTGTTTATTAAAAAAGATGGATTTATAAAAACCATAACATTCTAAATGAGGTGCCTCGGCAATTACTTAACTGCAATGTACTGTAAATAATGAAAATTCTTCATTTTTTCCTGTGTTATAAATAATGATTTCTAAGTCAGGAAATAACATTGGGCATTTGTTTTGAAAAATCTCTGAAAGCCTATGCAAAACCTGCTCAATATTTCCAGGCAAAATATGACTTATGAGGAACTGTTTTTAAACAATAGCCTAGTTTTATAGTAACTGTGTGTAGAAAACAGTTGCTCTTAATTTTCTGAGAATTTATATAATCATACTACTTAAAATCAGCACAAAAGTCTTAAAACTAGCCTTCTTGGAAAGGAATACAATCTTCCAAAGACCATATATCAGGCAATCCTCAACTTATGACTGCTGATTTAATGATCGTTTAAAGTTATGGCAAACCCAGAAAGGTGCTTTATAGCCCATTAAGTACTTCCAGTCATTGTAAGTGCCCCCCACATCCCATGCCAGTCATATAACTGTATTTTGGGTCCTTAACAACTGGCCTACACTTGCAACTGAATTTTTTTGTTCTGGTTTCTGGAATAAATTGCTGAATAACTGCTGTAAAAATGGTTGAAAAATCAGGGTCCGGTCATGTGGGTGCCTCAATTTATGACTGCAGCAACTTACAACTGAAATTCTGGCCCCTGTTGTGATCATAAATCAAGGACTCTCTGTATAAGCCTGAAAGAGACAAAGAATCTGGGGAGGTTTTGCAAACAAATTTAAAACAGTTTGTCGGACTGACAGAATATAAGTACTCTTTTAATGCAGCATGTTTCTATTTTCCATTTTGCAAAACGCAATGCAAAGTATGGTTATGGTGAACTTCCCAGTTATAACATCTCCTAGTTTATTAGGAGTATTAAAAGAATAATATATAAATACGTCTTCCTTTTTCCAGATGCATTGGATTTCAACTCTTGGAATTTTGAGAGAGAAAAGTTTGGAGTAGGATAACACATCTGGATAGCCTTAGATCAGAAAAGTCTACTTGGTATGTTCAAACAGGGAAAACATTTATTTTCCAAACTGCTGCTTTATTGGGACTCACAATGCATATTCCTCTCTACCTATTCAAACACTATCAAAACTAACACGATATAACAGGTGTGGAAGCATAACATTCCTTCTGTTTCTCCTGCTGTTTAGGGAGAAATAACGTGATATGATACCCCTCTGGAATACGGCTGTATCCTACTAATATAATTTTTTTTCTGGATTGTTTATGCAGTATTTACCTCTGTAGTTCATTGCTTACCCCAGGAGAGACGTCAGTTTGCCCAAACTACGAATTGATTCTAAATCTTTATGAGCATAAAGGAACAGAAAGGTAACTTTTTAAAAAAAAGCAAACTAGTATAAAAGAAATAATGAAATTATTTCCAAATCTGCTTGCATTCTCACTCTGTCATACAACCTCATTTCTTCCAAATTGAGGTGGGGGAAAAATGTGTTTGGAAAAAAAAATAATCCAGAAAATTTCTTAGGGATTATTCTGTCAAATCAAGTGTCTGTCAAAGCCTACAACTCGTTCCATCTGGCAGCAAAATGATCAGAATAATTGTCTGGGCTTTCAACTCAATGAATATGCATTGAGGCAGCCAAAATGGAATTTATACCTTAATCTACATTACAGGGCAAGTTTATAAAAAGACATTATAATGGGGAAAATGCATGACAATTATTCTGAGCAAGAGGTAATCAAACCTTTCTTTAACAAGAAACAGCACTTCCTTTTCAATTTATTTTTATATATTTAGGATGTATGCTGTTCCAAATCCAATTGTAAAAAGAAAAGATATAAATATCTACTTCCAAAACCCAGACAAGACATTGGAACCAGCTCTGTCAGGTGCAAAAAAACCCAGGTCTTCACATGAAGGTTCAATTTAACTGATTTATTGCTTAAAGCCTACGCACAGAAATTTTCTCAACTAATGGTCAGCACCTGGTTAGAGCTAGATAAGATTCAACAGCAATCAAGGGTGTTGGGACTTAATTTGTTTGCGGCTACATGGTGATTCTAGGCTGATCCCTCTTTTCAACCCTCTGCCTGGCTCTGCCACTCCTCCTTCACGTTCCTGGACACTGTTTCTGGTTAAAGGGTTTTTTTTTAGCCCTTCAGTGCATGCCTAATTTCAAATAATGTATTTTGTGATGGGCAAGCATTATTTGCAAAGATAGGTAAAATTAGATTACCAAGTTCCTCTTAAAAACAATCTTCATGAGTTGATTCAAAGGTTGTCTTTTCACAGAGTACTAGAAGAGAAATACATCTCCGTATTGAAGACTATTTCCTAATATTATTGCTCTTTATATATTCCAGATGTTAAAAATAGATAACCACAAGAACTGGAGATTTCACATTGGGATTCACAGCCAAATTTGTAATTAATTGGTGGTTGTATAATCTAGGAAATCTCATAATGTGATCCTAGGTTGTTTGGACATGCAGTAAAGGTAGTCCTCAATTTATGACTGGAATTTTGGTCAAAAACCTTTGTGATTGTTAAGTGGGTCATCATGTGACCAGGCCTGGTTTTTATGAACTTTTCTGCAGGATTTTTTTTATTGTTAAACAAATTTATTAACATTCACAAGGAAAACTCTGTGATCACTAAATTAACCCATTTTATCCAATGGGTGTTTTTTTGATGGAAACCAGAAGTAAACAGCAAAATCTGTTCCACCCCCCCCTCCTCCAAAAAGCCAAAAATTGCAGTTATTATGACTGCAGAATGCTGTAAATGGCCATAAATGTGAGACAGTTGCCAGGCACCCAATTATGATCAGGTGACTGTGTATGTGTGTGTATGTGTGTGTCCATTAGAGCTTGAAAATCAGATTATAACTAGCTTTTGGGGAGCTGGTTATAATTTTGAGTGGTAATTAAACAACCAGATGTTAAGCAAGGAGTACTTGTTAAGCCAAAGAAAAAAATCTATACCCACACATCTGAATCCTTTTGAAAAATAGAATTCAACTACAGAAAAGTGTCAGTATAAAAGTACTTCAGAAGCATCACAAGCAAAAAGCTTTATACTATTTAGGAAAGTAATTTGCCATTTCATCAAGACCTGTAGATTTTACTCCATAAAAGAAAGGTGGAATATCTCAGAGAAAACAATCAAGAAAGAAATCATGCTTTTGAGAAACATACACATAAAAAAACCCTGAAGAAATATTTTTTGCAAGAAAATTTTTTAGAGAGCAGGCAGGAATTTGTTTGAAGTGAAGGAGCATTTAGTCCCTCATAAATACGATCATTCTATAGGAAAGTCAATTCTTCAGCAAGAGACAGCACCTAGATGATGGGATGATGATTTCAAAATACTAACCAGGTTTTGATCTGCGGTTAGTTTTTGGATAATGAACTACCAGGAAAATACAGTTTTGTAGACAAATCTGAGAAAAACAACATTAAATCCTAGAAGATAACAGCAAACCATTTTTATGCTGTTACCAAAAAACTACATGGTCTTGTTCATGTAGTCTTGGGAGTTAGGTCCAAATGTATTCCTTTTCTCAGATTTCAAGGATGTACTTAATTAATTTCAAATTGTAATGTTACTGGTTTCATCTTCGGTATTCTTTAGTTACTTATCCATATAGTCCTGTAAAATTGCATTGGACACAAGTTATCAGCATAAGTGGTAGAAAAATTAACTCTAAATCATGGGAACTAAAAATAAAAAATTCTGGAATGTGCAGAAATCAATAGGTTAACTCTAAAAATCAAAGTAAAAGAAGACTCGGAATATTTTATAATATGGGAACTGTTCTACAAACGGTTAATTGACAGATACTGAGGTTAGAGGAGTGGATTTATGTGAAATATGGACTACGTGAGAAAGAAAAACTGACCAGTAAATATTTTGATGGTTATATAATTGATACTATAATGGAAGAAAGTATACTTTTCAATAATGATTGATATTATCGCACTTATGTCTATATATGATTATAATGATGATGTTTATATGTTAACACTTTGGACACCTAGAAAACACACTGTTCAACATAGAAATTGAATATGTGATATAAAACAATAAAAATATTTATATTAAAAAACACTTTGGTTCTGGTTTTAATATCATCATTGCTGGAAAGGCACACTGCCTTGGAAAAGTTTGACATGGCCTTCATATAAATCTTTGAATCTAGACAGAATGAAATAGCTAGAGATAAAGAGTATAGGAAGCCCATTCCTAGTGCAACTAATGTTCAACATCTCTTGACATATTCTAGTTGCTACACTTGCCTGTAGACTATTAAATGTTTGCCTTTGGCAGTGATGTACTGGTAAATGTTATGCAACAGACTGGATGGACTCCATTGCCATCACTGTGCTGTTAAACAGCTGATCAGTGCACTAAACACATGTCTCAGCTTTGCTCTCAACCAGCTCGCAAATTTCCAGAAAAATTTAGCAATCAGTTCTTTTCAGTTGATACAAGCTGATTTTAGCACACTGTTGTCCTTAACCAACTTCCAGATACTTTTTATGCAATACAGAAGACTTTAGAACCAGAACATGAAATACTAATTGCATTTCATCTCCCCACAGATTTAGCAAACTATAGTGGCCATTTGTCCAAACCCAAATACACACAATATTTCTGAGCAGAGAAGACTGCATTTAAGAGAAGCAAAGCTCAGGCCAGTCACGGAAGTATAATTTTGAGGCAGAGAAAATTATAGAACATGAATTATGCATCTAGAGGGATTTTTTTTGTCTCATGGTAGAAGTCGTAAGAAGTTTGTAGGACTTTGTTTTAATAGACTACCTACTGGGAAGATAGTAGTTTCTCCAGTCCTTTTATATTTTCAGCATATATTTTGTACAGACAAAACTACAATAGATCCAGGCAGTTTCTGCTGAGCCGTTTCTACATGCCCTTCAGTCAGCATTCTACAAAGCCTTGGGAGATGGCGGGTCTAAACAAATGAGGCAAAATAATTTCTCTCCTGCAACGTCCTTATTTCTCATTATTAAACAAATCAGCTTGCACACAAGGCTTGCTAAGTTAGTGCAACTCCTCTCCATCTTATTCCACTTTCAGAATGGCAACTTTAGGGATTACTGTAGGCAACTTACTCCTGGTCCAGTGCCTCTGACTTGAAAGGTCAGCAAAGCAAGCCGGATTCAAGCTACAATTTAAAATATTTGCAAGAGGGCATTGATCTAGACAACTAATGCAATCCAAAGTGGCCTTTAAAGAAAGAGGGACAAATGGAGAAAATAATTAGGCAAGCCTCCTATTGTCTAAATAGAAACTGATTCCAGAAAATTGAAATTGAAATCCAATGCAGAAGCGGCAGCTTCATGTATGTGTCAAAACCTGCATGATTCAGAGTGCGGAGTCACTTAGCCACCCCTGAATGTGCAAATGGGGTGAGATTACACTGCAGATTTGTTTATTTATTATTCACATTTTTTTTGAATGGGCCGCCTCACCCTTAAGAGATTTTGACACACAGACACACCCCAGAGAATGCCATTGCTGGAACAAAAGCTTCCTCAAAGCTAAAACAAAAGCAGGCTTGGCAGACATATTTGTTTTGGAACAGTCAACAAAATGTTTTCAAAACACGTCTGCATTTGGACAGTGCAGACACCACATTCAAATGGGTTGCAGCTCTTCCTTTATTTTAGAATGGGGGTTCCCAATCTTGGCAACCTTAAGACGGGTGGACTTCAACTCCCAGAATTCCCCAGCCAGTTGGCTGGGGAATTCTGGAATTGCAGTTCACCGGTTTTAAGGTTGCCAAGATTGGGAACCCCTTCTTTAAAAGACTGGGAACCCCTCCTTTAAGGTTTTAGATCACACTGTCATACCTGTAAAAGTATATAGAGAGGGCCTTGTGGAAGGTTTGAGAATCAGCAGCCTTCAATGTCTTTCTGATGAGAATCAAGAAGACCTTAAAGATTCTATTATTCTAGGCAGTCCACAATTTAAAATTCACAATTCATTTAGCAATTTTTTGAAGTTATAACAGCATTGAAAAAAGTTACTTACAACCAGTCTTCACATTTACAACTGTTGCAGCATCGCCATTGCCACATGATCAAAATTTGGGTATTTGGTGACTGGCATGTATTTATGACACTTGCAATGTATCAGGGTCATGTGATCACCTTTCCAGCTGGTTTCTGAAAAGCAATGTCAATGGGGGAAGCCAGAATCGCTTAATGACCACATGATTCACTTAAGAACTTCACTGATTTGCTTAACAGCTGTGCAAAAAAAATAAAAAATAAAAAAAATGACATGGCTCACTTAACAATTGCCTTGCTTAGCAACAAAAATTCTAAGCAACTCTTGATTCCGATTATTGTCATAAGTCAAGGACTGTCTGTATGTCACTCAACAATAAAGGAATCCTGGCATGTATGTTTCTTCTTCTTAGTTTACCATGAGAATCCAACAGCCCCATCCTCCATATCAGCATTTTGACCGATCCTGAACTCTTAACTTTCTTCAACCTGACCAGTGGAAACAATTCATACATCTTCTGATGATGGTAGGTAAAATCTCTGCTGTATATGATTGATATGTGAAAGAACAGAACATAAAGATCTTCAGGTGTTATGTTTCTTCTGCGATAGACCAGCTTTTATGCATGGAAATATTCAGTTTATTTCGGCTGAACTGAGCATTATTAAACCAGGCTCCCCTACAGGTATGGTTTCATTGTTCTATTTATCTAAGCCAAATTTATTCTAAGTAAAGGTCTAGACCTCTGTGTGTTTTCATTTATTTTACACAGCAGGCAAAATGATATCCATCTGTCTTTCAAGTTTCACAGAACATTTCACCGAGGAAAACTGAAGGGATATGCAGAAAACAAAATTCATTATAAATGTCTAAAACATATGGACTGCAAACTGTGTTGCTCTCTTTCCACGATAAATGTTCTGTTTGTCCACTTTATCTGCTGAAGAAACTACAAGCCTTGCATCTAATCAAGCCTCCAAAATAATCCATTATATTTTCTCTCTCTCCCTCTCCCTCCCTCCCTCTCTCTCTCTCTTCCACAGACAGAGTGTTCATAATACACAAACAACATTAGGTAACTATACCCGGAAAAACACCTCCTTGTGATAAATATAACAAAATAATATCACCTAAATATTTATTGAGGAAGGCTTGAAAGTTCAGATATATTTAAAGTGTTGTCTATTCCCCACAGTTATTTATTTACATTTTTAATATTGCACACCATCAGAAGTCCAAAAAGACTTCTGATGGTGTACAATATTGCAGATTTTGATTATGATCAATGAAAAACTCCAGTCTCAATAACTCAGACTAGAATTCTTACAATTTAACTTTAAAGGTTCCACCTTCACTGCCTTCCTAAAGTCCATCAGAGAAAGTTGCACCCATATCTTTTAAGGAGAGACTGTTCTAGAAGATAAGTAATGATGGGAAACTACTATTTCTGCCTTCTCTGAAACCCTCACTTGGGGAGAAACCTTCAAATTCTTATTCAGGATAAGCAGAGTGGGCAGATTGGATCTATCTGAATCTTAACAGATCTTATAAGAATTGGTTATTAATGGATAGGAGTAATACAGCTCCAATAATTTAATATCATCCTCCATATAGGAAAGCTATGGGGCAGTAGACCAGCCAAACAGCAGCTCACTATGGCCACCTAGTGAATTTATGCTCCATATGAGACTTATGTTACATTAACTTCCTTATTACAACTGAGAAGACAGTTGTTGTTGATTTAAGAGTTCCCTTGATACTTGATTCCTGGCCAAGTCAGATGGGACTGACATTAGCTGGAATCTAATATATCTGAAATGTTACCTGCTCTTTACCTCTCATTGAAACCCTGTTCATATGCAGGCAGAATTTGTGATCACAATCAATGTCCCTCGAACTCAAAGCATTCCTTTGTAACTCAGTCAGAGAACTTTCAGAGAATGTATATAGTACCCCAAAATATTTTAAAGGAACTATGACTTTATAGCTGTCATTTACACCTTTGCACTTGTTACTTTAAGAAGAAAAGATAAATTACATGGAGTAGAAAGTGGGGATGAAGAACAGGTACCCTAAGACCCAATTATAATGCATTAATTTTTCTTTTAAGGACATACCTAAGTTTTTCTCTACTTTGTACATATTTTCTACTGGCAACACACTCTGCAACTCCAAGATTTATAGAAAGTCCTTGACTTATGATCACAACTGAGATCAGAATTTGCATTGCTAAGCAAGATGATTGTTAAATGAGTTACAGCCAATTTTACAATCTCTTTTTTTACCATGGTTGTTAAATGAATCACTGTAGTTGTTAAATGAATCATTTAAACCAATCCACCTACCCCCATTGACTGTGTTTGTTGAAAGCTGTCTGGAAAAGTTGCAAATGGAAATCATGTGTTCCTAAGATGTTGCAGCCATTTGTAAATACACTTTAATTGTCAAGCACCCGAATTTTGATCACGTGACTGTGGGGTATGTTGTGATTGGTTGTAATTGTAAGGACCAATCATATAAGTTATTGTAATTTTGAACCATCACTAAATGAATGGTTGCAAATCAAGCATTACCTGTAGTTGGGTAACGAACAATTAAAACAAAAAGAGTATAAGTACATTCATGTAAAATCCCAAATTGCACTTTCTTTACTTTCCTATAAGAATTTAAATACAGAATCAACTTAAATAAAAATGCAAAGAGATTGATCATCTTTGGCCATAAATTGCAACTGACCCTTTGGAACAAATCATTATTATCACATTCTTTTTAAAGATTATTATTTGTCTTCCCTGAATATGCAATGTTTGCCCCACAAATTGTAGACAGCAAACCAAATTAAGTTGCCTGGATGGTATGTGGCTTCAAAAAAAAAAACACCATGTGGCTGATGCCAATTTTTCAAATATTATCATGATTTTGAAAGGCCAGATTGCAGAAACAAACATCAGATGCTTAGCATAAATAAATGGTATGGCACGGATTAATCAATATGTCTGCTTTGTAGCTGAAGGAAGATCTTCTGTCAATGACATTAGGGAAATCTATTCCCGCTTTACCCTTTCAACTTGAAGATGTAAACAGCAAGTGTTAAGGTGTCATCTAATTACTGTCTGCATTGTTTAACGATACAGGCTCTTAATGTTTTCACTCCCTCTTCTGCTCCCAGGTTTCCATTCATCCAAGTATTTAAAAGTGGGGATGACTAGCAGCGGAAGAAGAAGAAAAGAGGAAACCTCCATCTTTCAAAAGCATTTAAACTGTTGAAGGTCATGAAATGAATTATTTTGATCTTTCTCCTGTCTCCATGTCTTCAGTGAGCTATTGCCTTAATGCAATTTCAGATTTTGATAAACTTTGTCCTTAACTGTGTTTTGAATGCCCAACAGTGCAGGTTTATGCTGAAAAATGAAAGAGATTAATTTTAATTGGGATGGAAAAATGTTTCTATGGACATGTGAAAGGTATAAAGAGCCCACATGGGTAACTGCATTTCAAAATTAGATGTTCTATAATGTGTATATACATTTTTAAACAATCAAGAAACCGTGTTCTTTTTTTAAAAAAATGTGTTTTAGATTCTGCTCAAAAACCATTGTTTAATTTATTTTGGGAACTCGGGATATTACATCTTCAAAAGTAGAGATGGGCAGGAATTAGCCTTGCAAAATTGCATTGCACTGACATTAAACACCACTCAAGTTGCTGTATTTTGTAACGAGGAGTGTCTTGCTTGGGGGGGGGCATGATAGGCATTTTTCTCTTTCTCTCTGGGAAGCTATTATTCAATAATTCAACCTTTAATCTCATGGTATCATTTCTATGTGTAGCTTGTCTTGCCATACAAGGAGCAAGTAAGTGAAGTGAATCTAAACACCAAGCCAGCATTTTCTCTGGCAGAAATACTGTCTTTACCACATCTGACATTTTTCTCCATCACTTCTCAGTTTCAAATTTTTTGATTATCCAAACTTAGTATTTTATTGGAGATTAGAAATACAAGAATGTTATTACCAATTAGGAAGGTGTGTTGGATATGTTCACCGCCTTGAGTTATTTGTAAAAATAATAACTGCAGGATACAAAGGTACACATAATCAAATAAATAAATGCAATTAAAACCATTTAATTAAATTACTTTTTGGCATAGCTGGAGGACTTAGGCAGCTTTTATTTTAGGGTTTTTTGTGGCAATGATTTACACTCTTTTTTATATATATTATTTTCTTGAATTGTAATTTGCCCATAATTCTTTGAAGGAGGATGGTATGTAAATATCATCATAAATACGTAGAGTTACTTAACTAATAAAACTTTATCTTCTGGAAGATGCTGAAACTGATTCCAGAGTTTGAAATCTACCTTTGTGCAACCAACAGATTGGCTCTACTCCTTTTGAGGTCTCCAAACATTTTTTGCAGAGCTAGTTTCTTAGAATTTGCCACCTTCATCGAGCAAATAAATTCAAAGAATAGGTTATGATATTGATGTTCGTTTTACAGAAAAGAGGACAAAATGCTACCAAAACATCATAGATATCTGGCATGTTTGCTGCTGGGGTTTCTACATTTTATGGGACTACAATCCTTGACTCAACTGCTCTGTGGACTGAGAATTTTGGGAGTTGAAGTCCCTGGGAAAAGATCAGAAGGAATAGCTGCTCTAACATGAGAGGCAGAGATTATATTGTGCCTCTTGTTTTCTTCCAATACCATCTCTTGACCAATTACTGTGGAAAATGAAACAAGGTGAGAGTAAAAAGTCAATGGTTAAACACAAATCATTTTGGAGCTGATTTAATATTAAATATCAGGTAGAGGTCTAACCACATAAATACACAATAACTTTACAGATGCCATTCACCTTATATGCATTCAGCCACCGACAGAGTTGCTGGGACCTGCGCAGCATGCAAGTTTAATAATAATAAATAAACCCAACAAGCTTTCAACTTTTTTTCCTTTGGATGCCAGTTCCTGAAATTAGAAGTAATTTTTCCAGGAAGGCAGGAACTTTTTTCTTTAAAAAACAACAACAACATAGATCCAAAACTGAGTAAGACATTTAGAATTTTCCTATTGATGGTGGCATCCTTAGAAATTTCAAATGTCACCCACCTTCCTCTGTTTCAGGAATACGGATTTGATTTGATTTCAAGAATACTCACCATCTTCCTCTGTTTCAGGAATACTGATTTGAATCAGGAATACTGATTTGAATCAGAAATACTGATTATGCCTGGTTACTCAGCCGTATCTGGCAGTAAAGTACAAAGCAAAAAGGAGAGAGCAATGACAATAATCTGCTTATACACAGGAAGCTTTTGGCAAGCACAGATGCTCAGCTAACAGGGTGGAAAGTTTTTTTCAATGCATACGATACTCCAAGTCTACCACAACACTGAAACAGGAAACCAGAATTACAACCTCAGTACATGTAATCCAACTAGGATTGCATGTTTGTTTCTTCTACCATTCCCTGCTAATAATTTTATTGGAAAATAGTGAATGTTGTTGTTTGTGCAATAGTCAAGATCCATACTTTTCTTGCTAAATCAACTCTTATACATTATTTCAGTGCAACACCCTTAATGCTTCTTGGAACAATGGCTCATCAACCTGAAAACCATTGGATGGTAACTTTGTCATGCTTGCTGGCTGAAGCATCACATTCTAACTAATTTCTCTGTAGTGGTGTTATGTATTGGCTTGGGTGCCGGTTTATTGATAGACAAAGCTCTCATTTAGTACTTTCTACCACAAATCAGAACTCATAATCTTATGTTAAAAAGGTACAAAATATGTCACGTACAATTTTCATATTCTTTCAGTCCAACGCAAGATTTCTAACAGCATTCCGTACGTTGGCATTCTATACTGATTCGTACATTGGTATTCTATAGAATACCATTTTATACTGTTAACACTGATTAATATTGAATGGGGCAGTTCTTCTTCTATATATGCTGAAAATGGGTAGCTTTAGAATGTAATTACAGTAATTCAATATCAATGACCATTCCTTTGTTCTCCCGTTCTTCAAAAGGTGAGTCTACCACCAGTTTACCTGCTTTACAACTTTTCATCATTTTGTCAACAACACAGCTTCTGAGTTACAATTCCAAAATGCAATCTGCAATTTATAGACATTTCTATCAATAGTTTTTTTTTTTTAAAGAAGAAACATGCCTCTCTCCTGCCCTATTATCAAATCTCCTTAAATTTCTACCATGAGTTTCATTGAAGTGTTCCTACTTCTAAACACTTCAGCTGCATTTCTGCTTGAGGCAGCCAGCGTGTTTAAGCTATCAACTGGAAATGGGTGATGAATTTTTGCTCTTCACACCAAACGATTACATTTTGAAGCCTAATCATCATTAATTTTACACACACACACACACACACACACACACACACAGAGAGAGAGAGAGAGAGAGAGAGAGAGAGAGAGAGAGACGCACACACACACACCCCAATCCTCCAATAACTTATCTTTGAATCACAGGCATTAAAAAGGCCAAACAACATTAAACAGCCCAATTATTTCACTTTCACATATTCATACTAAAGGCATATTATTTGGCAGCTTAATAACCAAGATGCTAGTGAGCCACTGTGAAAAATTAGCTGAGTGGCATATTTCATCCATCACTGCAATTTGCTTCTCACAAGATCTTGTAAACAAAGCAAACAGACTGGAAGCGATCAGAAAAAAAGAAGGAACGCAACTGATTTTGCATAGAATCATGCAACTTTCATAAGATGCGTAAGGCTTAAATATACCAACGCAGGATTCCAGACCTTACGAAATGATGGATTTAGATTAAATTAGATTACTAATCATTCACATGGATGCCAAACTTGTAAACAGTCTGGAAGGTTAAGAGAAATAATTGGTTATCAAGCTGGGAGGAAATTCTACTTCCTCATGTATCATAAATAATTGAATAATTGTAGGGAGGATATTTTGATCTGACTGAATTATTTCCCTGTTGTTGTTGTTTTTTTTGTTGGTTTTTTTTTGAATTAGGTCATCTGTAGCAATTTTGCAAACAGGATCTCTCCTTTGTACTGATATAACAATACTGATTTCAGTGTGCAGAGGAGAAGTAAAGGTATTATGGAGCATGAATGCTCAGTTGGAAGTAGAGGGTGTTTGTGTTATAAGGTTGAATGTGATAAATAAGAATAATGTCTTTCTAGAGCCAATGGCACACAGACCCATTTTTGTGCAGAACATAAATCCAAATAAACAACTTACAGGGGAAAAAAAAGGAGTAGGATGTTATTTCTTATGGTAAAATTCTGAAACTCACTCTTTCTCTTAAAAGGTGCTGGTATAAAACAAATAGAGGAGTGGGTTTGGAAGCATTTCTGATCTTTTATTAAACATTAACACACTAACGTTCATTTTTAAAGTGCAGCGTTTCACATATGTCAGAATGAGCTCAGACAGCCCAACTGCCAAATGTTTAAATACTACGTTCATCTCTATCAACCAGCAAACTCAACCCTTTGAGGGGGAGATTTCGGCTGATCCAGGTAAAATGATGAATCTGAAGTGGTATATTATCATTTCCTGCATATGAATACTTAGAATACCAAAGCTTTACATAGTCATCATAAACAAAGAAACAAAAAAATAAATAAATAAAATTCTCTCTTTGTGTTTTAACTTCAAGCCAACAAATGCAACAATGAAAAAAAAATCAATTAAATAATGTAATTTCTTTCATTCTTCATTTTAATATGAAACCTGGACATCTTTCAGTTGTTGCGACTTCAGTTTACAGCTCTCCATCACACCTTTGCTTTTGTCTATTTGGAACTTTTTACCAGAAAGACACAGATTTACTGTATCAAGCAGATACAGACTTGTGAATTCTGTAATTTTCCTCTCATTCTAAATTTAAGTTTGGCTATCACAGCGAACACCTTTGATGCCTCCTGAAATTGCAGTCATTACCACGGATCGCAAGAAATCAGACGTAATGGTTGAAAGGAAGTAGGAGGGAGCAGAGGGAGGAAGAAGAGAAGGAAAGCTCAAAATCAGATGGGAGATTAAGTTTTAACCATTTTAATTTTATCTCCAAATCCCATCCTTGCTCTCATGCTGGCAAGGGGTAAGATAAGCCACGGACATCCTGAAGCATGACACCAATCTGTTGAAGGAAAATACATTTATCCTTGAATCCTGATCAAGCAGGAACATGCTCACTTATTACTTTGATATTATGGGAAGGACATAGAGTGGTAATCCATAAGGATTCAAAAATCTCATCCTTAACCTCTCAAATTTCATTAATTTTCACCAAATTTCTTTATTCTGTAATCTTGTTCATCACACAAACACCCACACTTGGCTGGATTACTGTATTTGTTTTGTCTTTTTATTGCATGAATAATAAACTCCCATTATCTTCCGTATAGTAACACTTCATATGTTTACTTGTCTTATTGCATAGTCTTACTTCACAGAATGCACATGCAAATAATGAATTAGCTTAACTGCTGAACTGATGAACTAGCAAATAATAATAATAAAACAAGGAGAAGTGCATTTTAAAAGCTTTCCTTTGTTTGGGTTTTGTAAATTTTCATCTAGCAATATAAGACTAAAAGCATAAGCTTAAAAAACAATCAAACTGAATTACATACTAAAATGCAAAATTCTTCATCAAATCTATTTTCCTACGTCATAGTACAGATGGACATTAAAATAAATGCTACAGGAAAAAATTATAATCAAATAGATGATATCATTTTGGCATTAATTTCCTGTAAATTATTTTTGAGAAACTGTTTTATTTATTTATTACTGGAAAATGTTCCATTCATTTTCTTTTCTGGAAATGACAGTAAATTGACCATGTAGTTGCAATAGCTATTTTTAAAAAATAGCTAGTCAAATCTTTAAAAAATATAATTCCTTCACAGAAAAGCTTTTTCAAAAGATATTGCTTTTAAATCTTAGAATTCAGTTAGAAGTGGAAAGGACATTAAGTAACATTTCAAATGTGGAATGCATAGAACATAGAAAGAAGGATACAGCCAAAGTTATCAGTATGTTTCTATATCTCACTGAAATAAGGGGAGTTTAACTTTTAAATCCTGACTGGATCAGGCTCTCAAGAAAAATGCAACAGAATATTAATTTGGACTATTCAAATCTTGCATTAAACTTACCACAGAATTAGGAGACTATTATCATTTTACATAGAGCTTGACTTTTATCTATCATGTCCAAAGTAATGTCAACACCAAAGTTCTTTTGATAATTTTGATAAATGGATGTCAACAATTTCAATTCCATATTAATGATTTAGGAAAAAAATATTTTTTTTTACCTTTTGTGACAAGGTAAACCAGAATGTCATTTAAGCATTTTAGGAAGAATGTTGTTTTCCCTATAGATAAATACTAAGCATGATTTTTAACTGAACAATGGGATTATCTGTGCTTTTTTTGTTGTTGTTCTATCTTATTCAGAACCAGACCTAAACTGATCAAAGAAACTGCCAACCATTTAATGGATTGTGAATTAAGATGATTGAGAAATACCTCCATAAACATACACAAAGGGTTTAAGAGCAGAGCGGATATGCTGAAGCAATGAAATATATTCTAAGGGAACATTAAAATATTTTAGTAAGATTTCCTAAAGTGGTTAAGAAACACTATGTAATATACAATAATATTTAACTTGGGGAATCTCATTTTAGCACTCTAAAAATGAATTCACTTTTGCAGCCAATAGTTCTTTGCTTTTAATTGTCATTTACAAAACTATTGCTAAATACACCATTTTTAAAAATCTCAGTTCTGTTTCACCCTTCTAACTGGGCATTTTTGAAATCTGAGGTTTACTTTTATCAAACTACTATATCAACAAGTTAAAGATCAGGTGTTTTTTTAGATATATGTTTGCTGAGAGAATATATTAGGTGGATTTTTTTTTTTTTATTTTGGAAAATGCATGGATACTTATGGCTTTTCAGGAATGGAACTAATTTTCTAAATAGTTATTGCAAGCATACACCTGAGAAGGCTGTGAAGGAGGGGAAATTACAGACACACACACTTACATACATATACATACATGACTCCTTTACGTATTGGTATGTTTATACCATCCTTTTAAAATCTGTAACAAAGTGGTATTCTCTACTATAGCTGTTGATGTCACTATTCTTGAAGCAGGACTTGTCAAACCCCCCTTCTTTTCAGAATTTTTTCTTTCATTTATTTATTTGCCTTCAGGTAATACTTAGAGAAATGCAGAACAGACCATAAGAAGTTGATTAATTTTCTTCACGGCTTTTGTTCCCCCAAACTTATCACCTTAAAAACAGCAACTGGTGGAATGCCCACACAAAGCACTCTCATCATTTGGATCCTGGTTGAAATCAATATATTTCAAAAGATAAATTTATTTTCTATACACAATTTCAAAAGATAAACTTGGAATACCAGTAATTCATAGAAAGCTGATATTATTTATACAAACTCTGCAGGACAAAATTACAGATACAGTCCAAAATCCTGGGAGAACATGAAGGGCTCAATTATCTGTGTGTAATTTTGACAGATTTAGGAAGAGAAAGGAATGTCACAAGTTAATTATTAGAACTCACACCAATTTCCCCCCTATATTATAAAAATACTAGTATTTGTGATCCTTCAAGAATTTCTTTTTTAGATTATTTTTGGTACATTTAAGTAAATGGAGCAAAAAAAGAAAGAGAGAGGCATACATAATGTTGTCTTGTTATTGTCTTATTTATCCCTTTTCTTTATTTGTTCTTGGAAAACTTGCGGGGGGGGGAGTTTATAATCAATGAGGATATTATATTCAATGTAGATGCAACCAGGTTAAAGCAGATCAGCTGTTTTCTAAATCTCCGCCAGATATATCCAGGCATGCATATTGTGGATTGTGACACAAGTAAAAATCAAACATTAACTTGTGCAGACAATTTTTTTAGGCCTCTAACAATCCAACTACTTATTTCCCCAAAGATGGAAGAAACATTTCCATCTTCTTTTCTGCCAAAACAAAAAAATAAAATAAACAACACCCTAATAAGTAAATCAACCCCAAAGTGACTGATGTGACAGAAGCTTATCAAAGGCTTCTGTAATGATGACAACTACAGACAAGGTGGCATGTGTTGCTCTGATTAGAGAGTTTGAGCTAAGCACTCTTGCAACACAACTCAAGGTATCACCAAGTGAGGTCCTGCCTTATTTTGTACTTGTGATCCTTATTTGAATTACAACTATTTCATCACTTTCTTAAAAACGGTAACTGAGGAGACACACGGCATTATCCACCCATTGGCACCGTCTCATGTCTTTAAGAGAAAAAAAGGTCAGCCTGGGTGAAGTGTTAAATCTTGCAAACCTGTCTTTCACTATTCTGAGCCTCTCTTCTTTTATTTTCTAAATTCTGGATTAGGAACATTTACTCCAGGTTCATTGAAAGAATCTTGGCCTCCTTAAAAGAACGGGAAGAGTCTTTAAGGCTGCTTAACTTTGAATGCCACAAACCCAAGCATCACTACTATCCCTGCTAGCAGAAACATATTATTCCTTTCTTCCCCCACCCCGCCTCCTCTTTTCTGGAATTGCAATGTTTTTCTGCTTTAAAAGGTGCACCTGAAGGATGGGATGGGGCCACGTTCTGCACACCCCTGCTTTTGATTTTACCCCTTTCTCCTTGGAATAAAAATGTTCACGTGGAGCTGCAGCTGCAGCAAAACTAGGGGGTTTCTTCTTCCACCAATGTGGTTTATTTCATTTTCAAAGGGGAGATGAGATCTGAGAAATATCTTCCCCCCCAATGCTTCACCTCTTCCCTTTCACCATTATAAATAGATTTCACCTCTGCTAGGTCAGAGGAGGTGAAGGAGGAGGAGAAGAAGAAGAAGAAGAAGAAGAAGAAGAAGAAGAAGAAGAAGAAGAAGAAGAAGAAGAAGAAGAAGAAGAAGAAGAAGAAGAAGAAGAAGAAGAAGAAGAAGAAGAAGAAGATTAAGAGGAGGAGGAAGAGGAGTTGATTCTTCTTTAGACTTTACTGATACACATTGAGACTTTCATGATGCATCTTTCCAGTCAATGGAATTCTGGAGGCTCCGATTCCAGATGTTGCCTGTCTAACTATCCCTGCAAGGGGAAAAGCGCATTCCGAAACCCGCTTCTCCATCTCTTCCTCGCTCAGTCGAGGCCACGTCCTGGGGGGATCGGATGGACGCCCTAGAGCCTCGTCCTTGTCTCCAAGATGTCGACGACCTTAGTAAGCGCAACCCTCCTTGCCCAAGAAGTCAAAAGAGGGGCGCTGGGGAGAAAAGGGGGCGGGAAAGAGCCGGGATGGGTGAGAAAAGCAAAGAAAGACCCCGCGCTTACCTTTCCTCTTGGAACGCCGTCTCCGCCGCCGCTTAGACTTGCCTTTCAGCTGACCGCCTCCTCCTCCAGAGGTTCGGCTGCTCTCCAGCACCGAGGTCATGGTTCCCGCCCGGTAAACAAGAGCAGCGTGTGGGGCACCGACACGGACGGGGCTGGCTGGACGGGCGGAGCGCCCCCTCCTTCTCTTGCCTCGCCGCTCCGGCTGCTTTCCAGCCACGAAGAGCCAGGCTGCTTCCGACAGCAGTGCCAGGCGCGCGTTGCTGGTACGCGGATGCTCCGGCCAAGCGACGCTGCCGCCGCTGCAGATCCGCGAGAGAAAAGTGAGAGCAGCGGCGGTAGGGGAGGGAATATTAGGACACCCGAGGATGCCCGCTGGGGTTCCTCCACGCTGCTTTCTCTTCGGTCCGAGGGCTCTTGCCCTCGCGCGCCAGGCAACTTGCTTTCTTCGGGACTGGCAATGCCCAGCGCGTTTCTTTCTTTCTTTCTTTCTTTCTTTCTTTCTTTCTTTCTTTCTTTCTTTCTTTCTTTCTTTCTTTCTTTCTTTCTTTCTTTCTTTCTTTCTTTCTCTTTCTTCTCTCTCTCGTCTTCCTTCCTTCCTTCTTTTTGCACCTTTGATAGTTGTTTGGCCCCAGCAGCCACTTTGAAGCCAATCATGCAACCAGCACCCCTATTTGCTACCCCGAAGTCTAATAAGGTCCAATCACAGCTCTAAGCTGCCCGTGACATCAGCAGCGGAGACCTCCCCCCCTCCCCCGCCGAGACCCCCTTCCCTCCTGGCGCCTCCATCCCTCCCTTGTCAGCTTGCAAACTCAGCTCCGATTTGGGCTGACAGCTCTACCCAGCACCTGAGAGCGAAAGGAGGCAGAGGGAGGCAGCGCCGCGCCGGCGGCGGGAAAAGGAAATCGAAAGGAATCTCGCTCTCCGCAGATATGGCGGGGCAGGTTAATTGTTATCCCAGGGGCGATACATTTTTTCGGGGTGGGGGTGGGGTAAGAGGAAAGATCGGGGAAGCTCGGAAAATTTACTCAGAGAAGAAGCGCAATTGCGGACGTTCTGTCTGTGCGAAGCGCTGCGATTCTTCTTCCCGCGCCTCGAATTGTAGCTTTAGAAAAGCTGCAGGATCCATCCAACATTTAATGGCCCGGTGATCCTTTCCGAGGACTCCCATTGAAAGAAAAAAAAGTGTGCAATCTTTCCGGTTCTGTAGAACTCTTTATCAGGGCTACCTAAAAGGAGGAAAGGAGAGAGAGAATGCTGAAAAGTGAAATGATGTAGGATTACTCCACACTTTCTCGCTCCTTCCAGAAATGCTTGCTTATTGAAGTCTTGTCTAATCCGGCGCCTTCTTGGTGTATAAAACTCCACGACCCCGTCTCCCCGTTCCCCAATTTAAAACAAGGATTAGTCCAAAGGAATGGAAGAAGTTGGAATAAAACAAAAGTTATGTCTCCATATCATTGTTTCTCAACCTTGGTAACTTTAAGATGTGTGGACTTCAACTCCTAAAATTCCTCAGCAGCCATGGTCCCTACACAGATAGTCCTCAACTTGCAACAGTTTGTTTAATGACCATTCAAAGTTACAACAGCATTGAAAAAAGTGACTTATGGCTGTTTTTCACATTTAAGGCCATTGCGGCATCCCCATGGTCACATGATCAAAATTCAAAAACTCTTTTAACAACATAAATTATCAGCTCAGTTGTGGTCATAATTTGAGGATTGTGCAATATTGTACTGTCTGTCTGTCTGTCTGTCTGTCCGTCCGTCCATCCATCCATCCATCCATCCATCCATCCATCTATCTATCATCTATCTATCCACCCACACTTTCTCATCCTATTTCACATCCTATTTTACATATATACATATACACATATATACATTTATGTGTGTGTGTTTCTTTATGTGTATATGTGTGTTTGTATATGTGTATATGTGTGTGAGACCACAGCTGCAATATAAGGATATCTGCAAGAGGGACCTAAAGGCCCTGGGAATGGACATTAACAACTGGGAAACCTTGACCTCCGATCGTTCAGCTTGGAGGCTAAAGACGCAGCATGGCCTTCTCCAGTTCGAAGAAACACTTGTTCGGCAGGCTGAGGCAAAGAGGCAGTCCCGGAACCAGGGAAATCTGGGGGCTTGGCAGAGGACAGAATGTATCTGCCCTCAGTGTGGAAGGGATTGCCACTCTCGAATTGGTCTTTTTAGTCACACTAGATGCTGTTTTAGGACCTCTTTCCAGAGCCCGATACCATAGTCTCTTGAGACTGAAGGATGCCAATGATGATAATATGTGTGTGTATATACACACAGACATATATGTGTATGTGGTATTTGTATGTATGTATTCTGACACTTTATTTAAACTAGATTTGTATATCAGTGATTGCATGAGCTCTGCAGATGCCATACCATTAAATAAATAAAATAAGTAATAACATCCTGTTGTTAAATGAATCATGCAGTCATTAAGCAAATCCTGCTTCCTTCATTGACTTTGTTTGTAGGAAACTGACTGTAAAAGTTGCAAATGGCAATCACATGATCTCAAGGTGTTGCAGCAGTTTGCATGCCAATTATTGTACCTGAAGTTTGATCATGTGACTTTTACGGATGCTGTGATAATTGTAAGTGTGAGGAGGTTGTAAGTCATTTTATTCAATGGCATTGTAACTTTGAATCGTTGTTAAACAAATTGTCGTAAATTGAAAAAGAAGCAGGATTTCTACTGAGAGTATTTTTTTTTTAATTTTAATTTGATTTATATGCTGCCCTTCTCCGGAGACTCAGGGCGGCTTACAGTGCGTTAAGCAATAGCTTTCATACTTTTGTATATTTTTATACAAAGTCAGCTTATTGCCCCCACAAACTGGTCCTCAATTTACCTACCTTAGAAAGGATGGAAGGCTGAGTCAACCTTGAGCCTGGCAAGATTCGAACTTACTTTAATTGCAGACAGCTGGTGTTAAATTACAGTGCCTTGTCTGCAGAGCTATCCAGAGTAGCCATATTTACATTTTTGATAGTCCTATAAATACTTCCATCAGGGGTGGGTTCTAAATTTTTTTACTACCAGTTCTGTGGGCATGGCTTATTTTGTGGGCGTGGCTTGATGGTCATGTGACAATTCTTTAGGATTTAGCAGAGGTACTGGTCTACCAGGCTTTTAACTGCTTGCAGAGCTGTACCAGTCTACTCATTTGTTTTTGGAGGCACCGGTCTACTCATTTGTTTTTGCAGGCACCAGTCTATCACCACACTGCCTTTTAACACTGATCAGCTGTAGGGCGGCCCTTTGAAGCACCGTGGCAAGAATTTAAACAGTTTTTTTCCTTCTAGTCAATCAGCTGGGATTCAGGAGGCAGCAATAGATTGGGGGTGGGGCCAAATAAAAGGTAAGAATAACGGGGGGGAGGGGGGAAGAACCGGTTAGGTCACTGCTACTGGCTCGGTGGAACTGGGCAGAACCGGGAGGAACCCACCAGTGACTTCCATGGATGGCTCTGCTTGTGACCTCTCTTCTCCCTTCTTTTTTCCTTAAAAACAAACCAAATGTTGAAGAAATAATTTTTGAAACCCAAAAGAGTAATATTTCAGTCTCCAAGACTCAACCCAAATGCTTACTGGATCATAATTTCAAACATGATGACTTAGGGGTTCTACCACATCTAATGGGATTTATTTCTAGACCGGAGTATGTAGTTGAGTTAAGCAATCCAGCCAAGTACTCCCCCCATCACATATATACTGCAATTATCTTTTTTTCATCCTCCCTTAAACTTCTAATAATATTTACTTGGGAGCAGGACCAACCGAGAACTTTTTTGCTTGGTGTGAAAGGTATGAGGGACACTGCAACTAAGCAAACTGGATTGGATTTGATATTGAATCTCACGTCAGCAACACCAACAGTTATTTGTCTCCACCGTAACCAGGGCCAAAATCTATTTTCAGAGGATGCAATTTATCCTTGAAAGAAAGGAAGCAGCCAAGGAATCCCTTCCACTCTAGGATTTACCATCTGAAATAGTTTCTTCATTTGCCCAGTGATAATGCCAACCTTGTTCAGAAACAAATGAGGATCTTATTTATTTTGTTCTTCCTCTATGATAAAACCTGATCATCCTTTGCATATTTCTTCAATAGAAAATATTGAAAATCAGAGAAATCAAAAGATTTGTTCCTTCAGGAAAAAAAGAAAGACCTGGTTCGAATGCCCATTTATTCAAGAATTCTTGTTGGAATTGCCACATTCTTTCTCGTAACAGACCTGTTATTTGTTGTTGGTTCAGATATTTAGATTGGATTTGGCATTTTTATCTGCCTATTGAATTCTTCCCAAGGACCTGGAATAGGATGTGTTATTTGATGGTGTTAAATGTATAGTTGCAGGATATAAGCTGTTGTCTTTTGCAATTGACTGATGGTGATTTTTGTCAATGCCAATGGTGTTCAGGTAGTATCCTGGAACTTTGGGATTGCACCCAAGATGCTTATTACTATTATTAATACCTTTGAGTGAATTTTGATTCGTGGCAACTACCTGGATAAGTCCTGCAGTTTTCCTGGCAAGATTTTCAGGAAATGATTTGCCCTTGCTCATTTCCCAGGGTTGAGAGAGAAAGAGACTGGTTCAAGTTTACCCAACTGGTTATGTGCCCAAGGTAAGATTTGAACTCATGGTCTCCAGGTTTTTGGGTTGTGCCTCCGACCACTGCAAGAAACTGGCTCTCTCCATCCTTAACTACTTATTTACAAGCCCAATGTCATATGGAGTCTTTTCCCTACTGGGAATACAAACACCCATCAAATTTGTTTAACAATTTTTTATTTTTTGTAAAAAGAAGTAGTTCATATCCACAAGCTTTTTTCATGAGAAAATGGGGAAAAATTTGAGATAATAAAGCAAGCTGCATATGAGAATCAGCAAAATCAACAGATTCTTCCATCCTAACTTGAAATTAAGCCCCACTCTTGTTAATGGCACCTAGAAATTTGTGATTCTTTTGGAACACACTTATCAAAAGATATGAAGCTCACCTACAAGCCAGTTATTGGCCTCAAAGCAATAACTGAGCCATGTGCCTCTTGGTGTGACTGATTTGGGTCCCAATCCTCTGACCATGCCCAGAAGAGACTTCCATGAGGACTGTCTTAAATGCTTTGTATAGAATTATTAAAAATGGCTCACAACAAGTGGTAGTACCTGGTTGAATTTGTCTGGACTTGAAATCATTCAGGCTTGGACCTAATATGGTAGGTTAGTGCTGAATCCTATGGAGATATGGAATTATAGCACTGTACGCTCGTCTGAGAAGCTGGAAACCATCTTGTAGAAACAGTGGTAACTCATCTGCATGTTGTTGTGAAGGAGACACCAGAAGTCAAGCCTGACTTGAAGAAGATTCTACTATTTTTTTTTTGGGGGGGGGGTTAGGACTTAAAACCAGTACAGAAGCAGGAAAAAAAAATGATGACTTCTGATAGAAAAGCAACCTTTACTGAAATTTCCCCTTCCCCAAATCTTAAAAGTGCAGGAGCCCTGATATTTTACTAGAAGCTATTGTTATGTCCCTCAATGTTTAAGCATTATTTAGAAGCAAAGGATTGTAACAGATGTGGAGAATTCTCATAAAATCCCAGAAGAATGTGTTCTGTTTAAAAACATCTGCATCCCTATTTTTAATAGTATTTTTAATAGATCA